ACTTTTCACATTTTCGACTTCTTCTCAAGAACCACTGGGCCAATTAACCGAACTTAGTACAAAGCATCCTTGGGTGAAGGGGAGTTTAAATTGTTAAAATGAAGGGCCAAGTCCCCTTCAAAGGGGAGATAATCAAGAAAATACAAAAATTGGGTGGGGTCATTAAAAAATCTTCTTCTCAAGAACCACTGGGCCAGAAAAGCTGAAACTTTCGTGGAAGCATCCTGGGGTAGTGTAGATTCTAAATTGTTTCAATCATGACCCCCAGGGTAGGGCGGGGCCACAATAGGGAATCCAAGTTTTACATTGAAATATATAGGAAAAATCTTTAAAAATCTTCTCAGGCACCACTGGGCCAGAAAAGCTGAAACTTATGTGGAAGCATCCTGGGGTAGTGTAGATTCTAAATCATTCAAGTCATGACCCCTGGGGGTAGGGCGGGGCCATAATAAGTACTACGGGGGGAGGAGAAATCAGGTGAAAAACAGCAAGTCCAAAGGTACTCAGGCGAGCGCTGTGGCCCATGGGCCTCTTGTTACAAAAACAGTTTATGTTTCACGGGTGTGTTCAATTTGTTAGAGTGACTAGGGGACCTGTTGTAATTAGTGACAAGTGGAAAATAGCTACTGTAGACATACTTTTTTCCATGGGGTCATAATTCCGCAGAATTTCTATTTCAATTTAATCTGCAGGTAGAAAATTATGCGGATTTCGTAGACTCTCATTATATGCCTTACATGTATATTAAGGACAATGGGACAAATTTCCGTGGAAAATGTGTGACCACGTACATAAAATAAATTAATACCATGCGGAAAAAAGTACTACTACAGTATGTTGTGTAGCTAAGTCTCTCTTTGTGTACTGGTACTTAATTAATTGTAGCACTTGACAAGTGACAAAGACATCTTTGTATATATTGAATACCTTACACACTAGGCAGGTGTCTATTGTATTTGTATATTTTGTATTCATTATCATCCGTGTAAGACTTGGAAAAACCAAGGAGATTCACTTGAGTCTCCCAAATTACAATAAGCAATGGTATTTTTACCAGCTTTTTCAAATTCTCAGCAACATTGCTTCATCTATCAGTTAATTTTGTTTTATACTTCTATGGATCCTTTTCAGTGTTGTATTATACTCAGGTGACCATTAAGGCCCTTGGGCCTCTTGTTAATTTTCCAAAGAGTGGTAAAGTTTTAATTGCTGCAATTTAAATGATAAACATTTTCAGTTAATTGCTAATTATACTGCCTGAGCCCCGATGCAAGTCATTCATGTTTTTTCCCCTTGATTGCCTTAAAGGTGCATAGACACAGATTTGAAGTTTACATTTTCTCAAATTTTCTATATAATATCACAACTTATATGTTGCTATAGAATTTCACACGAATATAAAATTAAAAACTTATTTAATCTGGAAATTATTGAAACTACGAATTTCGTGAGGCGTTTGATTAACACATCCTTGCACTTTCACAATTTTTAACTTTATCCTTAATACTTAAAAGAAAATTAGCAATTTTGTTGTGTATTAATGAATAATATCACATCTATAATCCAGAAAATTCAGAGTAAAATGTGCGAAAGCAAAACCCACTCACTTAAGTATTGTCACCCCGTGTTCAGTATTGTGTAGTTGTGTACAGAGTTTAACAAATTGAATACACCCGTGAAACGTAAACTGTTTTTGTAAACAGGGCACGAGCTCTGTTGTAGTTAATGTTTAGGTTTCACCGGGTGTGTTCAATTGTTAAACTCTGCACACACCACTGAGCACAGACTGACAATACTGGTGAGAGAATTTTGCTTTCTACATTTCTACTCTGAAATTTCTGCATTTATACTTTTAATATTTTTCATTAGTAAACAACAAAATTGCTACTTTTCTAAAGTAATAAGGATAAAGTTAAAATTTGTGAAACTGCAAGGATGTGTCTATCAAACGCGTCCAGAAATTTGAAGTTTCAATAACTTCCAGATAAAATAAGATTTTTATCAAATTTTCGTATGAAATGCTATAGCAACATATGAGTCATGAAATTATACAGAAAATTTGAGTAAATATTAACTTCAAATCTGTGTCTAAGCAACTTTAAATTTGAAATAAAAATTTAAATTGTATATCAAATAGTTTTGAAGTGTTTGTCTGCCTCAGAATACTAGATGTATATGGTACATGTGTAGCTGTACCAATGACCAAGACAAAGCTGAACTATTGCTGTCTTCCATGTTCTGTCTATTTTTGTGAATACTTTTAACAAATATGAAAAAAAGATGTAAAAAAAAAAAAAGCTGAAAACATCTCCCCCATACTTTTTAGTGAGTACCCCTAGTAACACTTTCTATACAGTGTTACTCAATCATCATGACTAAATGCCCCCCCCCCCCCAATCACATTAAAGCCATACCCGATGATGATACAGATACTGATGTATTTGTTGAATGAAAAATAAACAAAGCCATGTAAATGTACATGGACTGATTGGACTCACATTAAAGGCACTAGGTATTGGATATTATCATTTTTGTTCAAGGGAATTTTTTTTCATTTTTTATGCAATTGACTAGATTAGCATTTTCAAGACCTTGGGTCTTTTATTAGGTCACCTGAGTCACTCAGGTGACGTATTGCTATCCGTTCTCGTCCTTCGGCGTGTGTCGTGCGGTGTGCGTCGTGCGTTAACATTTGAACATTTTTAGTTTCTTCTCTGAAACCGCTTAACCAATTTCAACCAAATTTGGCATATAGCATCTATGGGTGAAGGAGAACGAAAATTGTGAATTTCATGGTTCCTGCCCCCCTGGGCCTGAGGGGTGGGGCTAAAACCACCAAAATTGATGCAATCTTTAAAAATCTTCTTCTTTACTCCTGGACATCAAGCAGTCAAACTGTTGGCATCATTGTAATAAGCATTGAGCCCCCTACCAAAATTGTGAAATTCATGGCCCCAGGGTCAGGGGTTCTGGTGCTAGGGTGGGGCTATATAGATCATATAGTAAAAGTGCATTATTTTTTTGAAAATCTTCTTCTCTGCTCCTGGGTATTAAATAAACTAACTAAGTACATAGTTATGATGAGCAAGAGTGCCTCTTCAAAAATTGTGAAATTCATGGCCCCAGGGTCAGGGGTTCTGGTGCTAGGGTGGGGCTATATAGATCATATAGTGAAAATGCATTATTTCTTTGAAAATCTTCTTCTCTGCTCCTGGGTATTAAATAAACTAACTTAGTACATAGTTATGATGAGCAAGAGTGCCTCTTCAAAAATTGTGAATTTCATGGCCCCAGGGTCAGGGGTTCTGGTGTTAGGGTGGGGCTCTATTGATTATGTAGTGAAAATGCATTAATTCTTTGAAAATCTTTTTCTCTGCTCCTGGATATTAAATAAACTAACTAAGAACATAGTTATGGTGAGCATGGCTGCCTTTTCAGAAATTTTGAATATTATGGCCCTTGGGTCAGGGGTCCTGGTATTAGGGCTGGGCTCTATTGATTATATAGGGAAAAGGCATGAATCCTTTCAAAATCTACTTCTCTGCTCCTGTGTATTTTTCAAACAAAGGAAGTGCATGGTTATGATAAGGAAGAATGCCTTTTCCAAAATTATGAAATTCATGGCCCCTGGGTCAGGGGTTCTAGTGAGGGGGGGGGGGAGCTCTTTTGATTATATAGTGAAAATGCATAATTTCTTTCAAAATATTTTTTCTACTACTGGTTATAAAGTAAAGAAACAAGTGTATAGTTATGATGAGAAAGGGTGCTTCTTCCAGAATTGTGAGTTCGTGGCCAATGGGTCAGATGTTCTGGTGTAAGGATGGGGCTTTATTTATTTAATAATATGGTGAAAATGCATTTCTTTGAAAATATTCTATGCTTCTGGGGATGTTCAAGGCAAACAGAGTAAAAGTTTTAATATGCAAGGGTAGTTTTACTAGAATTTTGAACACCTGGACCATTTAGTCAAGTGTTCTGGTCCTGTCCAGGGATCTATTAACTTGTATTCTGCTGAGCAAAGTTATTCCCCTTTGCCATTCACCTTTGATAATTAATCAATGTAAATAATGTATTTGAAAGCTTAATAGAATAAGAGAATTATGCAAGAAAATTTATTGTATAATAAAAAAAAAGTACTTTCATAGTTTTAATGACTTGGAAATAATAGATGAATAAAAATGAGACAAAAATAACTTATCTTTTTAAATGTTCTTCGAAGGCCAAGAGAGACCATTGTGAGAAGTAATAATATGGGGTTAAATAATAGACATTTTGTTAATAGTCTGCATGGGAATTAAGTGATAAATGGGGGGGGGGGGGGGCAGATAGATACTAGACCAATTATTTTGTTGATGCTAATCATACTATTTTTCTTGCTTTTGGGCAACAAAGCTTCATTTATCAGTTTCTGGATCCTCTAAATTGTTGTATTGTACTCAGGTGACTGTTAAGGCCCTTGGGCCTCTTGTTAACTGTGAATATGAATATTTTATTTTATGTGGATTTAGATTGTGTCATTTATCTTTAATCATGTTAATCATGGAATTATAAAATATTTTTTTACTTTTTATTTTTGTAGATGAAGACTGAAAATCTCATGAAAGCATTTTAAAAACCATCTTAAAAAACAGTAACCAACGATATCATTATGCTTACTTCATCATAGAATGGTCAATGAAGGGAGTATGTGATACTCCTGCTGAAAAGTCAGAAATGCTGTCTTTGTTGTTAAAAAAGATTTGATTTTCACTTTTGTGTGTGCTGGTTGGTGATTATATACTTAAAATAATGGTTTCCAACTGCGGGTTATCTACATGAAATTAGATAGTGATGTAGAGTTTGTAACCTTTACTGAAGTCAAAATCACTATTCAACTCAAATGATCTAATTAGGAAGATACATAGTGTTATTTTCTGTTGGAGACAAATTGAAAAGACATCCAGTTGTACATGTACATATGAAATATTAATGTGACTGGCTATTATATGTATCTAGAAAAAATGACAGAATCAAGTGCTTCAGTAAATTCTGGCGAGTTGACTGTAAAAGGTGTCGTTGATTGGGCATCATCTGTTTTTGAGGATGAAGACAAAGAATTCACATATTCCTGTCAACTCGAAAGAAATGCAAAGAGATCAGAGAGGCAAGAGAATGTAGAAGACAAGGAGACTGATCAGCCAATCTCTATAAAGGATGCTCCTCACCTTAACAAGGAGGAAATAAAGAGTGAATTTCCTATATCACAAAATGTCGAAGAATTTAAAGAGCCCACAGTAAAACTAGACAGGCTGCCTGAAAATGTATCCTTGCCTACAGACTCAGGATACTGTTCTGCAGCGAATTCCCTGGATAAGTCATTAAACAATGAAGAGCAACTTTCATCTTACACTGGTGACAATAAAAATAGCAGCCATACTTTCCGAAGAACATGTAAAAATGAAATTCTTATGAATGAAACCGTAGAGGACATGTGCGAAAAAAACACAGAAAGAAAGCAAAACAAAGAAAGAAAAAGCAAAAAACTGAAAAAAGATGTTGGTAAAAAAATCATTCAAATTTTGAAGCCAGTATTGAGGAAAGTCATCAGTAGAACTCAGAACTATTCTTTGTTTAAAATTCTAAATAAGGAATTAAGAAGGTATTTTAAACAAAAGGGAAATCAAAATTACAATAGAAGTAAGAAGCTTCTTATTCCAGTAATGAAATCAGGAATCCTAGATTTGAATAGAATATTGTGTACAAAATTCTTGATAGCATATCCGTTACCTTGGATGTATATGCATGAACTGCCTGAGAATATGAGGATTGAATGGCTGCGAGTCTATTCTTTTGCGACCTTCTCCTCTCAGAAGATATCAAATTTTTTGTTAGCTAAACATGGCTTTTATTTTGATAAAGATAAAGGCAAAATTCAGTGTTTCGCTTGTGATAAAAGTTACAAGTGGGAGGAGCTTGAAAATACAGAGGACTGCAATGTCAAGTTGAAGACATCCCTGCATGAGGACTGGTGCCTGATTGCTGATGGCAATGTCCCAATACACCCATCTCCAGTCAATAGTCTAGGAATTTCTGAAGGTTTGACCTTATTTCTGTTATAATGCATTTCATATATATTTTTCTGGGTAAGTGTGTTGGAAGCCCTGCAGCTAATATAATACCACAACACAGATAAAGATTTCAGAAGGTTAAAGTAATAACTTTATTTTGACATATGTCATAATCATGGTGTAATACTAAAAGACAAAGTCAACAAGCTAATTCAGAAAATTTGTGTCCCCTGCTTCTAAAGGAAAAAAGAAGAGCATGCACAGATCGGGGGGGGGGGGGGGGTATACATGTATATACATGTACAGTTAATTCTCGATAAACCGCCGCCTTTTGTAATTTAGAAATCATGGCGATATAACGAATTTGGTGATGAATAGAATTTCTCATCTTTGGGGATATAAGAAATAGAGTTACTGTTCTTGGAAATAAAACATTTAGCATTTATATTCTTAGTATTATATTAAAAAAAAAACATTTTCCAAAATTTGAAAATGCTTCAAATAGTTTTTTACGTACACTAATTTCGTTTTAAAACAAAATACATATTTATAAAATAAATACATGAACACAGGTACAGGCATGTAAATCTGAACGTCTGATATTAAAAAAAAAACATGCTGTAACTAATATTGTTGTCGGCTCAAGTTTAAAAACAACCGCTTTCGACATGTTGGAGGCAAAGCCGTGATTAAATCATTTTAATAAACAGAAAAGAAAATTATAATTACAGTTGATGTTAAAATTATTGTTTAATATTTAATTCTTTAATTACGTGTACCTTACGATGATCTGGATAGTGACAACCAATATATTCCATTTCCATTAGTGAACTCTTCAAAATTAGAGGCGCATTTGGTCGTCTGACAGGGACAGCATGGCGTTGTGGGTAATACAAAACATGCCAATCTCAATCCAATTTTTAATGTTAAATGTATTTGTCATTCCAATTAAAGAATAGAAAAACTAAAAGACATATGTAAGAGAGCGAGAACACTAAATTTATCATCCATTAATAAAAAATACGACATTTCCGAGGCATGTGTATTGTATTTAGATGTACCATACGATAAATAGATACATACGATGAACAATAGATATAAATTGATATCGTTGTCATTCCTACTCTTGATGTATATAAAGTCCACAACAATAAAATATTTCATTTGCATTTTCTTAGGATTTGTTCATCGACATTCAACATATTGTTTACATGTTTATGTTACGTTTGTCCCTGAAATCCAGCGAGATTTGTACATTTTCCGACTTTTTCACAAAAGAGCGCACTAAGAAGTATAACTCTTCCATAGTGGAAATAGAACATATTAGCCGCTTCACTGACCACATGCACCTGTGGCGGTATATCGAGATAATTGACACTTTGAAATGGACGTTTGTTATGAAAACAGGGTGGTGGATGGCGGTATGCAAATTTGGCATTATGAAGAGAATTTTATATAGCAGGAAAAACGTTCTTGAAAAATCATGGCGGTATTGCGAGAATGGCAATGAATCGAATGGCGATAATTCGAGAATTGACTGTATACTGAAGCAAATAAAAAATGCCAATATGGATACTTATATAGATTTGTTTACTTATTCTTTAATATATGTGCAGAAGATTCTTTTTATATAAAATATTTATCACACTGTAATAATGATTTTATGAGAAGTTTGTAAATGCAAGACGTCATAAATTCTTCATTTCATATGTTGAATACTATCATTTAGTAAATCAAAAAAAAAAAATTAAAAAAAAAAAAACAACAAAAATACGGGATCATCCGAGATTTGAACCCGGGACCTCTCAGATGCTAAGCATGAATCTTTTTTTTTTATCTTTATTAAGCATGAATCATACCCCTAGACCAACGAGGCACTTGCTTTTAATGCAAATTAAATGCATACATTAGGTCTCATATACATGTTTATATTCACGTTCGATATTGTCAAAATTTTACACAACACATGGTGTCTAATTTAGCTTTTACTAAACAGTTCTAATAGATCTGTTCGTCAACAACCTGTATTATATGTAATAACTCTCCACATGCTCCTTTGCTAAAAATAGTGCCATGCGACTTTTAATACAATAAAAAAAAAACGGGGCGGGACACTTTGAGAGGGGCGAGAGAGGCCATAGGGAGTTATGGTATAAAATTTCATTGCAAAAGCTTCTTGAGATATTGCCCAGAAACGAAAGTGTTAAACACAGACAGAATGTATAAATTTACAACCTTTACCTTTGACCTCAAAATCAATAGGGGGCTTCTTTAGGCCACAGGGAGTTGTTAAGTAAAATTTCATTGAAAAGCTCAAAGGCTTCTTGAGATATCGTGTGGAAATGAAAGTGTTAAAACAATGAATTTATGACTTTGACCTTTGACCTTTTGACCTCAAAATCGATAGGGGTCTTCCTTAGGCCACAGGAAATTGTTTTGTAAAATTTCATTGCAAAAGCTCAAAGGTTTCACGAGATATCAGGCAGAAATGAAAGTGTTACAGACAGACAGAAATACAGACAGATGGATAGACGGACAGACAGACTGAAATTAATATCCCCCACTTTCAGTGAAAGCAGGGAACAAAATTTACAGTTTGCATTGCACCGTAACTCTTGCTCCCTCAATTTAGCCATACATATACAATGTGTATTATTAACAGGCGCGTAGCTGCCTATATGCAAATAAGAAAGTGTGTACACATCATTTTCCAAAGAAAAAAAGCGATGAGAGAGCGTGTTCGAAGAAATCTCAGTACCATCCAACAAATATTCGTGTTTCAAATTATTTTGTGTCATGCTGTTTCTATTTGAATTTTACATTATAATGACTGTAAAATAAAATTTGAAATCCTTCATTAAATCATTGCCAAATCCAAATAAACCATTCATTAATTTGTAATTGTTCTTTTAAAACACTGAGAATTTTTTTTAGAAAGATCTTTGAGAAATTAAATATCAAACACATTGTTGAATAGTATGATCTACTAGTACATGTATATGATTTAAAATACGATAATTCTTGTTATTAATTTATTAACATTTAGGATACTTTTTTTACCATTGCAATTTGCAAAAGAGTATTTGATACCAATATATCAGTTAAATATATAGCCTTAAAACTGCATGTCCAATAAGCTTCCATGGAAGTATGAACTTTGCGTTAAGACAATGAATATTTATGGGGTTTTTTTTCTAAATAAAAGCTAAAAGGCTAATTTTCACTTTGCAAGAAAATGAATGTTATATTCTGGGTCCTCACCAGCAGGCCAATAGTATCTAAGGGGGGGGGGTGTCCCCCACTTATTCAAAACCATACTTTTTACTTTTTGTTGTAGCATAGTTAAATCATGGTAATTTGGTAATGTATTTATAAAATTTTGATTTGTAAAATTGGAACCCCCCCTCCCCCACCCCCTCCTGCATACACTTCACTTCCATTTTGGCTACGTGCCTGATTAAGGCATAATTTATATAATTTATTCAAAGAAGCAATATTTTGAACAGGCAACTTGTAACAAAATTGGTAAATGGAAATATTTTTGTATATTTATTTTATGTAATATAATGTTTGTTAGGACAGCTGTCCATAGTATGTATAACAATCTGGAGATTAATGCTTAGAAACAGAAATAAAATCTATGATGCTATTAATTTTTGGACAAGAAATGCATGTGATGCACCATTTTAGAATCCATCATTCATTTAAAATATAGGTATGAAGGAAAGTGTAGCAATCCTAACATTTAAAATTGGAGACAATATTTCAGTAAGAAAAAGAAAAAAAAAACTTCATTTGTTGTAGACTAATTGGGGGTCTTTCCACCTCCTTTAGGGTTTTAACATATTTTTATGTATTTGTCTTTAAACATATAGATTTTTGGAAAAGAATGCAAAAATTGGCTTTAAAATTAAAAAAATATAACATTTAAAAAATTACTACCGGTAAATGACATTGACCTTTGATCTTGACCAAAATATTCAAGATCAAAGGGCCTTTCCGGCAAGCTTGGAAAAACAACCTCGTATGTGTTACATAGGTGTCCACAACAACCCCCCTTTTCATTACTTTGAAATAAATGTGGGGTGTAGAATAAACTTCATTGAATGTATAGATATTATGTAAAATATACTATAGTAGGGACTTTCAACTCTGTTTATCCAGTAATTTAATAAATAGGAAGCAACTTCACCTTGGGTAAAATTTTAACATCCGTTGATCTAAATACATTTGAGGTTGTTTTTCTGAGCTTGCTGGAAAGGCTCAAGAAGATGTGATTGGAGGTCATCAGATCCTTTTGATTGAATAGAATGAAGTTATGTCTTGAAAAACTGAAGACATTTGGGTCTCTACAGTTTACAGTTTTGTCGGAGTAGTAATAAAAGGGTTTATGATGAAGGGGAAATAACTTTTAAAATATTCAGGCTTAGGGTTCAAGAAAGGAAATTTTAAATTGGTTTCACAAGGACATACTAAATATGCAATGATATGTAAAATATATTGAAAGACAAAAGAGCTTTTAAAAGAGCTAAATTTCTCATATTTGAATGACCTTGACCTTTGATCTTGACATAAATTTCATGTTCAAAGGTTAAAGACTTGAATCCCAGTTGGTCCTATGTCTCTACAGTTGACCATTTTTAAAAAAAATTATGTAAAATTTGAAATCTTTGGCACTAAATAGATCAGAAAGTCTACATAATTAGTCCAAGACATTGGTGAAGGGTTTGGAATTTCTATGATTAAAGATTTTGTTGGAGTATTGATTTCAAGCTTCTTTTTGCGAAAGGGGTAATAACTCCTTGAAGGGTCAATGTTCAAATATGTTGGGTCAACTACAAAAATGTATCAAGGAGTACATTCTCCTACACTGTAAGTTTTTCCGATAAATCTTTAAACTCAGAAACATTAGAAAAATAATAATAGCAAACAGAACACTGTTTCAATAAGTCTTTCCACAGATATGTGGAAAGACCTGATAAGCTTTAGAATACAAATCACTCATCAGTTTATTTTAATGCAAATTTTTAATGTTTTTTTTTTTTAAAAAGTAGGTTTACCATCCTGCAACAAAAGAAAATTTAAGGATGAAGGGAGGATTATCACCTGCCTTGAATTATGTGGCTTGAACACATTTTTTGTGGATCAAGGAAATATGCTGAAAGAATTCCCTGTGCTCATTGATAAATATGAAAACTACAATTCAGGAGATGGCTCCATTAATCCATTCCAAGTAAAATATCTTAGTTATATATCTCTTAAGATGAAGTTCTGATTTTTATACCCCCCGCAAATGAAGTTTAGGGGGGGTATATTGGAATCAGCATGTTCGTCTGTCTGTAGATGAGATTTTGTCTGGACCATTTCTTGGAAACTGTTGCAAGGATTTGTCTGAAAATTTGTACACTTATTATTTACCATATGAAAGTATGCACCTGGTATTTTCATCATGATTGGATAATTTTTTTGCATTTTACAGGTGTTTTTTTTTTTTTCATTTTTAGGTCACCTGAGTCACTCAGGTGACCTATTGCTATCTCTTTTTGTCCGTCGAAGGCTTTCATAAAAAAGTGTGCAATTCGTTTTTTAGATTCATTTCTCGATGAACAAAATAATTTATATAGTCAATGCTTATAATTCAATTTCAGGGAAAAACATGTTTCTTTTCATGTTCATACTCATTATTTAGCTAACTCAAAAAAAAGGTGCACAAAATTTACATGCCAACAGCTGTGTAGAAATATATCGATTGGAAAATTACATGATTCTTGGGAGCGGATCTAAAAGCCTGTAGTTCACAAGGCGGGTATAATTTTCTTTTAAATATTACAAAAAATAAAGAATTCCCCGTTATGTTTTATTGTCTTTATAATGATTTACTAAGTTATCGATTACGTAAGTTATGAAAATCTGCACGTGCAATTTTTAAAAGCGATTACACATAAAGCAGACAGAAACTTGCTTTGTTGTCAGTAAGCAAACGGTCAACGGTAACACGTTGAGAGAGTGCAATGGAATATTAGAAAGAGATATCTTCAGGTTAAAAAATATCTAGAAATAAATTTGCTTGTCGATACACCTTAATACATGTATAACTTGATTGACAATTAACATGGTTAATACCCTGTATAAAGTTGATGTGCAGACGAAATACGTGAGAATGTGATAATAACACTCACATCAAGAAAACTTAGTCTAAGGTCCTTCTAACCTACATAACAATTTTTTTTTCTAGTTTGGTTTTCAATTTGTACTAAATTCAATGTAAATTCTTTCTTTACAAATAAAAAATGCAAAACACGTGCTTCTTTACAGAGTTATATCCCTTGTCATCCCGGCATTACCTATTGACAACAATTAACTCGCTTAATAATTTATTTGAATATTTTTCTTTTTTCTACTCAACAAGAATTTTTATTGTATAATTTAAAAATAGAAATATATGAATTAAAATATTTCCTTTAAAGCACACGGAGAGAAACAAAAGATTTACAGAAGCTGAATTTAAATCATGAAAAGAACATTGCCATACGTTTTAGAGAATATTAGTTTATACATGTAACACAGTCGCCTCCCCCAGTTTACTGGAATGACAAACACTGACAATAATTGTATCAAAATGAATAATGAAAAGTAGTTTGCTTACTATAAATGACATTACATTCATCAGAAAATGAACAGAAAAAATTCTCCGTAGAAATACATAAGTTCAAAGTGATGAAAATAAGGAAAATTGAATCATTAATTAATAAATATTTTATAGGCAATTGAAAATTTGACTTAAGTCTAAGTCTGTTTCATGATCCTGGGGCCAGGTGTTAGGGCGGGGCTATATAGATCATATAGTGAAAGTGCATTATTTCTTTGAAAATCTTCTATACTCCTGGGTATTATTGAAACAAATTGAATACAGTGGTGCCGTGTTTATCCGGACGCCATTTATCCGGACGCTTCACCATCTGTAAGATATTTTTTGGGAACTGATTTTTCAACGTTATTTTGACTCATTAATCTGGATATTCGCGTTCCGTATCTGGACGGTCGATTTCTACTACAAAACGTAGTAGTTCATTGAAAAATGACTCATTTATCCGGACGGTAATTTTTCAAGAAACGACTTTTTCACACTTATCTTGCAGTAGTGCTAATTGTTGTAAAAACATTGGCCATGCAGTCAGTTTGAAGGCGGTTACCTGTGACCTACAAACAATAGCATCTATAATTAACGTTTGTTTACCCCAATTAAATCACACGTTTATTATGAAGCCCGAAGATTTTAGCTTACACTGTGCATTAATTAAATAATAACCCGTTCAAAATAATATTGCTAATCGTATATACATTGGTAAATTCATGACAATTTTGGAGAATTGTAAATAAAATGAACAATAAATTGCGAGCGATTTCGTACTGCTATTTATCATGTTTAAAATACGATTTTCCATTTCTTAAAACGTAAATGTATTTGAAAAGCTTTTTTACCCACAGGATAGTTTAGAAAGGTACATAAATGAAGAAATATCTTTATCTTTAATGTACTACTGTCTGCAAATGTACAATATTTTAGAAAAGAAATATAAAACTGGCGTTACGTATAGAAGTTGATTGCATTTTTCAAGGTATTGTTTAATGATTGAAATTCAAACTTAGAGTCTGTAGAAAGAATATTGATAATCATGAAGATAGCTTGTGTTTATGTTGAATGTTTTTAATACTGTCATTGATTGTTTGAGTTAATAGATATACGGGGAATATACAGGGTTAGTTTATATTTGAACATTTTCAATGATGATGCTGAACAGCTCTGTCATATCATATGAGCTTCAAAAAATATAAAATATGGCAAAATAAAACAACAGTACATGTATGTATCTAAATTTGCTCAGCTCATGTCAATTCCAATGCCCAAGAGAAGGCGAATAAAATTCACTGTGTTTAAAAAGGAGGTCTCAGCATAAAATTGCCTATCCATTTTTTAGCTCACCTCAACGAAGTTGGGGGAGCTTATGTAATACCCTCGGCGTCGGCGTCGGTGTCGGCGTCCCAGGTTAAAGTTTTTGGAGCAGTTTTCTTTTCAAGTACTTCTATGGCCTATATTAGTCAGAGATGCATGGAGGATGCTTCTAGTGTGTTTCATTGTACCAGTCAAGGTTTCAGATGCTGCAATTTCAGCTAAAGAATGACCAGGTTAATGTTTTTGGAGCAGGTTAAAGTTTTTGGAGCAGGTTAAAGTTTTTGGAGCAGGTCTCATTTCCAAGTAACTATAAGCCCTAAATTGACCAAACTTGCATGGATGATACATCTAAGGATGCACACTACTGAACTTGCTTCGGATGCTGGATCTGACCTACATTTTCCGGATGAGTGACTAGGTTAAGGTTTTTGGAGTAGATCTCATTTCCAAGTAACTATAAGCCCTATATTGACCAAACTTGCATGGATGATACATCTAAGGATGCACACTACTTGACTTGCTTCGGATGCTGGATCTGACCTATATCTTCCGGATGAGTGACCAGGTTAAAGTTTTTGGAGCAGATCTCATTTCCAAGTCACTAAAAGCCCTATATTGACCAAACTTGCATGGATGATACATTTAAGGATGCACACTACTGGACTTGCTTCGGATGCTGGATCTGACCTATATTTTCCGGATGAGTGACCAGGTTAAAGTTTTTGGAGCAGATCCCATTTCCAAGTAACTAAAAGCCCTATATTGACCAAACTTGCATGGATGATACATTTAAGGATGCACACTACTGAACTTGCTTCAGATGCTGAATCTGACCTATATTTTCCAGATGAGTGACCAGGTTAAAGTTTTTGGAGCAGATGTCATTTCCATGTAACTATAAACCCTATATTGACCAAACTTGCATGGATGATACATCTTAGGATTCACACAACTGGACTTGCTTCAGATGCTGGATATGACCAATATTTTCCGGATGAGTGACCAGATTAAAGTTTTTGGAGCAGATCTCATTTCCAAGTAACTATAAGGCCTATCTGAACCAAACTTGCATGGATGATGCATCAAGGGACGAACAATCTCAAAACTTCGGATGCTGGATTTGACTTACATTTTCTGAATGAGTGACTAGTTTTAAGTTTTCAGATAAGTCCACTCCCAAGTAACTGCAAGCCCTATCAGACCAAAATTGCATAAATGTTGCATCTAGGGTTGCACACTCCTAGATTATTAGTTTAGTGTGGGACTTTGCCTTACTTAAAGACAACATTCGTTGAGGTGAGCTCTGTAATCTCTGATTACCTATGTTTATTGTATAATTTATATTTTTTTCTTAAATTAATTACTTCTTTTAAAACTATAAAGTTAAAACAATAAACCAAAATATTAAAGTTTCTTTTCTTTTCCGACACATTTGATACAAGAATGTGCATATATACATGCTTGGGGAGTATTTTTTGAGACGTGATTCAATTATCCGGACGATTCATTTATCCGGACAATTTCGTTGGGGACAGAGGCGTCCGGATAAACGAGAGGCCACTGTACATAGTCATGATAAGCAAGAGTGACTCTACCAAAATTTTGAAATTCATAGCCCCAGGGTCAGGGGTTCTGGTGTTAGGGTGGGGCTATATCAGATGATATAGTGAAAGTGCATTATTTCTTTGAAAATCTTCTTCTCTACTCCTGGGTATTATTGAAACAAATTAAATACATAGTTATGATAAGCAAGGGTGACTCTACCAAAATTGTGAATTTCATGACCCCATGGTCAGGGGTTCTGGTGCTAGGGCGGGACTATATAGATCATATACTGAAAGTGCATTATTTCTTTGAAATCTTCTTCTCTACTCCTGGGTATTATTGAAACAAGTTGAATACATAGTTATGATAAGCAAGAGTGACTCTACCAAAATTGTGAAATTCATGACCTCGGGGTTAGGGATTCTGGTGCTAGGGCGGGGCTATATAGATCATATACTGAAAGTGCATTATTTCTTTGAAAATCTTTTTCTCTACTCCTGGGTATTATTGAAACAAATTGAATACCTAGTTACCTAGCAAGAGTGACTCTACCAAAATTGTGAAATTCATAGCCCCACTGGGTCAGGGGTTCTGGTGCTAGGGCGGGGCTATATAGATCATATAGTGAAAGAGCATTATTTCTTTGAAAATCTTTTTCTTTACTCCTGGGTATTATTGAAACAAGTTGAATACCTAGTTACCTAGTAAGAGTGACTCTACCAAAATTGTGAAAT